TAACTACCAAGCGATTGTTTGAGAGAGGGCAGAGTGGTTGACTACACTCATTCAATCTGCCAAATTTAAAAAGTCACCCAGAATACCCTGTGCTTTATGAGTGATTTTCATGTTTATCTCCCTTAGCTTGCTATTTTGTTATTCAAAAGGAGTGTAAACTTAGAGCATTCATGTATAATACCTTTCATAACTCATATATTAAAATGCTGATATTATTAGATTACTCAGGAACACTACTGTTGTATTTCTCCATTCAAAAAGGTTAAAAAAATTATTACTCCGTTTTCATAATTAATCCTATTTGCCCAATTGTCTTTGTATTCTACATAGAAAGCATGCCATAGATCTATAATTGAATTTACTCATCTATATAAAACAATACTTTTAACCCCATCCTGAAAATCAAAATATACTTTTGAAAATCAAACTATGTCAAAATTGAAAATCAGAATGTGTCAAAATATTGAAAATCAAAATATATCAAAATTCATTATATTTGATGTATCCCTCAAAAAATTGATTTCTCCTTACAGAAATTATTTTGTTTTTCTGGAAAAACGCGGGGTTCAAATGCAGCTTTCTTCCTTCTGTTCTGGTCTGTCCAGTATATGAAAAGCACAAGTGCAGAATGACCAGTGACAGGTTCACCATGAAGCTAATGAAGCTTAGGCTTCAGGGCCCGTCCCTTGTGCAGAGTGCCTTCCAATGCTTGGGAAGGCCCCAGGCAATTTTGTTCTCATAATTTGTAATATTTTCCTTAGAGAGGCCCCACTACTGTGTACATTTTATACCCCACAAAACCTGAATGCTCACCGTCATGTCCTAGGTGTAACTAATCTTTCTTTCCGGTTAAGAAGGGACGCTTATCCAGCCATTTGATATAGTGTCTGAAGATAGATACACTGTTAGCCCCACACTAGAAGTGTAAAATCATTAAGACAAAATTTGAGAATGATACGGCTCCTATATTGGCATCTTTGGGTAATACTGTCCAAGCTGATGGAAAATATAAGGACACCACTTTGCTCTGTAAAAAATACAGAAACACAGCCATGGAAGTGTAGTGTATTTGTATGAAACATTGTACCACCTTGTGCCAAATGTCATGTTAATGATTCAAGATAAAAGTGCGCAGACCAAATTTGACCGGAGTTTTAACAGGTTCTCTCTCCATAAAGCAGTCTGGCCACAATCTTATCACTAGGTTTGAGGGTATGGAGGTCCCCTGTGAAATATAAAAGTGATGCACAAGTGAACTGTCTGCAGTACAGTATAAGAATTGGTGAATTGGTTGCAAAGAAAGGCAGACCATGGCCACCCAGGGATCACTCTTGCAGTTTGACAAATCCACATGGAGGCTGAAAGAATCTATATAGTCTTCAGAAATGCTGTGAAAACAGTATAATCAGATATGACTAGGGGAAAAAAAAAAACTGGTGTTCATTTGCATATTAACACCTAGAATTCTCTGCCAGTTCACCTCTTCTTCAAAGTGCAGAAAGGATTTTAAAAAACTGAAATGGGGCCGGCGCAGTGGCTCACGCCTGTAATCCCAACACATTGGGAGGCCGAGGTGGGTGGATCACATGAGGCCAGGAGTTGGAGACCAGCCTGGCCAACATGGCAAAACCACGTCTCTACTAAAAATACAACAACAACAACAACAAAATAAGCCCGGCATGGTGTTGGGCACCTGTAATCCCAGCTACTCTGGAGGCTGAGGAGAATCGCTTGAACCCGGGAGGTGGAGGCTACAGTGAGCCTAGACCTCACCATTGTACTCAAGCCTGGGCAACAGAAGCAAAACTCTGTCTCAAAAAATAATAAGAAAAAGAAAAAACTGAAATGGTTTGGCATGATGGTGGGGTGCTGATTCCTTTCTCTGTCCTTGAGTATTTACTGCCAGGAAATCCTGACCAACATCAATTGCCAAGGGGTTAAAGTCACATTGTTGTTAAATTGGGAGAGAAAATTAGCAGGATTTTGTGCCCTATGTTCAACTATTACAGAGTTTCAAAAACAGGAACCTGGAGCTTTATATGAGGGGACAGGGGAAGTAAAGGGGAAGAGTGACAAGGGTGATTTATCAGGGCATAGTTCCAGATAAATCACTTACATGGAGGTGAAAGAATTTCATGCATATGTTCTGTGCCAAGAAGCCAAATGGTTGAGCAGAAGCTTGTCTGAAAGTTGAAGTGGGCAGTTCGGGGTCCAGTCTTTCCATGTGTGAAAAGGCGATGATTTTATATTCATGTTGTTTGTGTTACTGTATGTGCAGTTGGTCTTTTCAGGTGTCCAGACATCATTTTTTCATGGCATTAAAGAAAGCCAATAAAGTCTAGTTTTGGTGGCTCACAGCCATAATCCTAGCACACACTTAGGGAGGCCAAAGCAGGAGGATCACTTGGAGTTCAAGACCAGCCCAGCAACATAGCAAGACCTCATCTCAAAAAAGGAAATAGATTTTTTAAAGTCAATATTTCATTAATATAAGTTATAATACACTATAAAATGCCTGGAGGACAAATAAACACATTTTCTCTAGGTTCTGTGAAAGCATCATTCTCCATTCAAATTTTTCTCATGATTAGAACCTGACATTCTGGAAAAGTACAGTAAATTTTCATTAATGTACTTGCTGTCTCCCCCCTTTTATTCCTCCCATTATTAATATTAATCCTGAAAAGAAAGAAAATGGAAAAAACACCCAAGCAAAATGCCTAAGAAATACAGTAAGGACAATTTGATCCCCATTTCCTTGAAAAATTAGAGCCACCAGGCAAACCTGTTTTGGGGTCCTCACATCTGTCCTCTTTTGGAGTTTGCTAAGTAGTACAGTTGAAGTGAATTTTTTGGTAACAAAAGTAAAAACTTCCAGAATAACTCCAGTAAATGGTGTTGATGTGATATACAAGTTTGGAAATATTTAAGATCTAAGAGTCCTTAATGTTGGTGTTATTTCCTTCAGTGTAGAACAGACTTAATGTTGTTGTTTTTTTTCTTTTGAGACGGAGTTTCACTCATGTTACCCAGGCTGGAGTGCAATCGCGCAATCTCGGCTCACCGCAACCTCCACCTCCCGGGTTCAGGCAATTCTCCTGCCTCAGCCTCCTGAGTAGCTGGGATTACAGGCACGCGCCACCATGCCCAGCTAATGTTTTTTGTATTTTTAGTAGAGACGGGGTTTCACCATGTTGACCAGGATGGTCTCGATCTCTTGACCTTGTGATCCACCCACCTCGGCCTCCCAAAGTGCTGGGATTACAGGCTTGAGCCACCGCGCCCGGCCAGACTTAATCTTTTGATGGAAATCATAGAGTTCCACAGAGATGAGTAGAATCTCCAACCAGTGCATCTTGAAGCTGGCTGCCACGGCCACTCATGCACCTTCTCTCTGCCCATTCAGGAGAGAATTCTCAGCATTTGTGCTCAAAAAAATCTATACTTTTAGTCCATCAGAGACTTCATGTTTGTCATGCATGCACACTCACAACCTCTCCACACATATGCCCACCCCTCACACACATCCTGCTTTTGAGAAATGCAACTAGAATTTCCCCCAGAGAAGAGATGGAAACCCCTGATGAAGAAATTTAAGGTCTAGGAAAGGTAAATGACTTTCCTTAAGTCACATAGTTCAGCACAGAACCAAAGTTAGAATCCAGATACCCTCAGCTCTTCTTCCAGTGCCTTCAGGTACACAAGTATTTGAACAGGATTCAAGGTTTAACTCCTATATGTCATTCACTGTATCCAGTGTAAGTAAAAGGTTGCCCCTTGGAGCAGCCTTGAGAACTTCTCAGTGACTACAAACCTTTGGTTAGTTCTATACAAGGGAAGTCAGAGAGAGATTATGTCATGACCAAACAACTTAACTTTTGAAAAACAGCCGATTGCAAACCTGAATAATTGGGGCATGTATTTTATTGATTGTTTAACCTGTAAGGACAGATATTTTAAAATATAAATTCAAAACCCTTTCTTGCCACTTTTTGCAGCAGTCCCCTACAGGCTTTCTATATCTTCTCTTTCTGAAATAGATGATTTCCAGAGCATTAAAAAAAGAAATAGACATTTTCTTGGTTCAATAGCTCAAATCTGCTTTCAGAGTGATTTTGTAATACTTAAGCACATTTTGTATGCACATAGTTTCATTTGTGATCTTAGAGGATGTCATTTAAAACTGAAAAGTTATTACCTGTGAAGGAGAACAAGGGAAAAGGAAAAAAAAAATAAGAAAAAAATGTTTTTTAAACCTGAAAAGTGACTTTATGTTCAAATGGGTATTTTCAACCCTGAGTTGCCAAAATGACTTTTAATTGAAAGAAGGCTAAAAGTGTATTTTATCGAAAGCCAGGATAAACAGTAGATTTTGTATCATTTTAAAAACAACAATCAGCCGGGCATGGTGGCTCACACCTGTAATCCCAGCACTTTGGGAGGCCGAGGCAGGCAGATTACTTGAGGCTAGGAGTTGAAGACCAGCCTGGCCAACATGGCAAAACCCCATCCCTACTAAAAATGCAAAAATCAGCTGGGCGTGGTGGTGGTGCCTGTAATCCCAGCTATTCAGGAGGCTGAGGCACAAGAATCATTTGAACCTGGGAGGTGGAGGTTGCAGTGAGCCCAGATTGTGCCACTGTACTTCAGCCTGGGTGACAGAACAAGACTCTCTCTCAAAAACAAACAAATAAACATAAAAATCAACAATGAAGATTCCCCAGACAAGAGGCATTGGGATTCCTGGCCAGTCACAGATTAAGTGTTATAGTATAAATTGAAGAGAAAGAAGACCAAAATTAGTGAAATACCTTTGGTCCTAGAAGACAATTAAGATGAATAAAAGAACTTGAGAATACATTCTCATTATTAAGCATCTTCAGCTTTAAAGATTTTAGTTAACAAAGCAAGTTTACATAAACAGTTTTCTGAACTGGGATGGCGTTCGGTGTAAATTAGAACTCTCCAATTCAGCCACTTTTTCTCTGTTTTATTTGCAGCCATTCGTTATCTATGACATGAATTCCTTAATGATGGGAGAAGATAAGATCAAGTTCAAACACATCACCCCGCTGCAGGAGCAGAGCAAAGAGGTGGCCATCCGCATCTTTCAGGGCTGCCAGTTCCGCTCGGTGGAGGCTGTGCAGGAGATCACAGAGTATGCCAAAAGCATTCCTGGTTTTGTAAACCTTGACTTGAACGACCAAGTAACTCTCCTCAAATATGGAGTCCACGAGATCATTTACACAATGCTGGCCTCCTTGATGAATAAGGATGGGGTTCTCATATCCGAGGGCCAGGGCTTCATGACAAGGGAGTTTCTAAAGAGCCTGCGAAAGCCTTTTGGTGACTTTATGGAGCCCAAGTTTGAGTTTGCTGTGAAGTTCAATGCACTGGAATTAGATGACAGTGACTTGGCAATATTTATTGCTGTCATTATTCTCAGTGGAGGTAAGATTTGCCTTTTGATCTTTCTGTGAGAGAGGATGGGAGGATGGTGGGATGGCCAAAAGAATTTTGGATTTCCTTAGTATTAGTCTGCGTTCGTTGTCACATTAAGTGCCAATGGCATTATGCCATGAATCGTCACTACACGTGCAAAACACTGTACCAAGGAAGAATATCAAAGATTTCTGCTGTGAAGGCTGTGGGTAACCCAGGATCTTCTCCTTCATCCCACACAGTATATTTTTTTCCAGTCAAATGCCCTCTTCTCCTTTTCCTTTTTCCTTTCTTTATTTCCATCTTTCTTTCCAGAAAGGAAGATTAGAGGCCAGTCTAATCTCTGTTTCCTGTAAGTAATGACATATGTAACTTTGCTTAAGACATTGTTGACTTGGCATAGAGAAGGTACTACTAAGTGTTTCTGGTCAAATTATGCTCCTGCCCTACCATCAGTAAGATACTACTTTGAATTGCTTTTCCAGTATCAGAAATTAGGGAACACCTACTGACCTCCACCCACCCTCTTGTGTGGATTCCTCTGATGGCGTCCTTAAAGTACCTTTGTGAGGTAGTTGGTTGTGATTAAGAATGCAATGTGAACCGAACACACAACATAGAGATAAACTGAGTTATTTAGCAATTTGTTGTATTTTTGGCCTTGCAAGTATATTATCTGACTAACCAGTTCCAAAAACCAGATTTTCTACTGAGTGTGACTTTTTTCTTTTCTTTTTTTTTTTTTTTTTTTTTTTTTTTTTTTTTTTTTTTTTTTTTTTNTTTTTTTGTTGTTTGTTTTGGTTTGTTTTGTCGTGGGAGGGGGGGCAAGGCCTCACTCTGTCACCCAGACTGGAGTGCAGTTGCATGATCATGGCTCGCTGCAGCTTCTAACTGCATTTAGTAAGCTATGATCATGCTACTTCATAGAGGTAATACATGGCCATTTTACAGTTGGGCTCAAGTGATCCTCGCACCTCAGCCTCCCGAGTAGCCAGGACTACAGGGGCACACCAACATGCCCTGCTAATTTTTAAAATTTTTTTGTAGAGGTGAGGTCTCATTATGTTCCCCAGGCTGATCTCAGACTCCAGACCTCAAGCAATCTTTTTACCTTGGTCTCCCAAAGTGCGGGGATTGTGGGCATAAACCACTATGCCCAACCTAAACCTTACTTTCATTAGCCTCTCATAAGAAAGTTTAACTTACATCTCTCTGGATAAAAATTGTTTCTGAGTAGCAGGTTTTCCTGTTGAAGTGGACTTCACGTGAGCTTTTTATATGTACTCTACAGCGATTCCTCTGTATCTGAAAAAGACATCAGGGGATAGTGGTAAACTGTGTATAACTGCACACTGTATCATAAAGAGCATGATCACTGTGTAGTCTTTTGTTGTCCAATTGAAAGGAGAATGTTTCTGAAATCAGGTGCATAGTGCAGTAGTCATAAGAATAGCAAACATTTATTTAGTACTTGTTGTGTGCCAGGCAGTGTTCTAAGCACCTCATGCATATTTTATTCAATCCTCACAACAATTCAGGGAAGTAAGGGCCATTTTACAAATGAGGAAACCAAAGCACTGAGAGGTTTTCTCATTTGCCTGGGGTCACGTGTCTAGCAAAAGATGGATCGGGATTGTGAACCAGGCATGCTGGCTCAGACTCTATGCTCTTTACCATCACATCATGCAGAATACTGCCCTTTAAATGCCTAGGGAGCAAATAGATCACAATACGGTATAGTTTACCTTTAGAGCCACAAGTCCAGGGTCAAGTTGTGATTTGCTTTAAAATAACTACTTGATATTATGTTTAATAGGACAAACGTATACTACCTGGCATGGTTTAGTATCTTGACCAAATCTACCTAAATTAGTCCTTGACTCTCTAGTATATTTTGTTAATTCAGCAAAAAAGGATGAGATTCCAATATATAAGAGGTTTGCCAGAAGAAAAATATTAAATTTTGAAAAACCAGATTAGAAAAACGGTTGATATTACTTATCTAATATTTTATTTTACTTTATTTTATTTTTTGAGATGGAGTCTTGCTCTTCTCGCAGTGGCGCGATCTTTGCTCACTACAACCAGGTTGTCTGCCTCCCAGGTTCAAGTGACTTCTGCGTTAGCCTCCCTAGTAGCTGGGATCACAGGCATGCAACACCACAGCCAGCTAATTTTTGCATTTTTAGTAGAGACAGGGTTTTACCATATTGGCCAGGCTGGCCTCAAACTCCTGACCTCAGGTGATCCAACTGCCTCCACCTCCCAAAGAGCTGGGATTACAGGCATGAGCCACTGCACCCAGCCTATTTATCTACGATTTTAAGGCACATTTTATTTTTAATAAAAGTTGGAAATACACTAATATTTAATTGATTTCAAATATTTTTCCTAAGCTTACTATATATCCCATGTCTGTTCGTTTCACTTAATCAGTTTCCCATATCATTACATACTCTTTATTAATACTTTTTGTTAACTTTTTAAATAAAAGTAATACACGGTCATTTTATAATTGAAAGAGTACAGAAAGTATAAGTGAAAACTAAAGGGCTTTGCACTCAGGATAAAATATAATTAACAGAGTCCTATTTTTCCTATCAAGAAGTCGACACACACACTCACATATATAGACATATACATACATGTATGTGTACGTTCATAGCAGTTTGTATTCCTACCCACAGATACAAAGAGAAGCATTTGAAATGAGCCACTCAAAGATACTCAGTTTTGACTAGGCAAGGACTAGACAAGAAACAGTCAGGAGAATTCTGGGCTTTATGAAGTGAGATCTGAATCTTAGGCATCTACGTTATAGAGGATAAGATCCACCTCCCCAGTTATGCTTCATTAGAATAAGACAAAATTTCTCAATTAGTTTTCCCTCCTATTCCAGATTTTCCATTCAGCTAAGCAAGAGGCTTTCATCTACTAAACAAATTTCTGATCCTACCCAATCTTAACAAGAGTGATTATTTCCTCCTCTGCAATTTATTCTAAAGTCTATCAGTTGCTTTGGTTCCGAAAGAAGCACTTTTGGTCGGGATTCAGTTGGTCTCATTCTGAGCTAGCTTTGGATTCACAGAACTTCATTTCAGCAAAGGCACTTAGGGCCTCAGACTAAAAGAAAGATGAACAAGTTGTCCATCAACTAAGAGCAGGTGGGGGTAAGGAATTGGGGATTAATGGGGATATCCCTAGAAGACTCAAAGAGGAGATTTTTAGATGAAAGTAACTGATTTGACTCAACTCAGTATTTGCTGGGGAAACGAGTTGCTACCTAAGATTGCAGCCATTCAACTTCAGCCTTAAAAACTGCTGATACCATTTGATTTGGTATTTAGATTTGCCCGGGCTTAGCGTCTCTGCTGTTCACTCAGCTCTCAAACCAAGCTGCTGAAAAAGATGGCCTAGTTCTTCTGGAGTCTTTCTCTCCTAAGTTTGGGGGCAAGAATTAGACTAAATAAAAGGAACAGCAACCTATTCTAGAACCAAAGTTTAGGACTTGGTACCTTTTCGAGAACATTTCACGTACATCCTCTCATTCGATCCTGACAATGCTCCTGGGTTTTTAATTCTCATTTTCACAGAAAGAAAAGTGAGGGTCATAGACTTAAGCGATTTGTCTAAGATCTAACAACTAGTGCCACAGTGGAACTAACATTGAAACCAAGGTGTCCTGACTGTCCCCTCTGGTGCTGGCCAGTGGATTGTGGTCTGTACACTCACTCCTTGTGTTGGTGGCCACAACCTGCTCTCTCTTCACCGTATCCCTAAAGTAGGCCCATAACTAGAAGCCAGGAACAGCAGTTCCTTGGTCATCATGGTAAACAATAGCTTTCCTTGCACTCCCTAGTCTTACTGACAGGCTGGGCGGCGTCGAGAGTACTAAAACTGCCTCCAGCAAAGGCATGTTTGCAACTGGCGCCGCAGCATCATGCCAGCCACCCTAGCAAACTCCCAAAACCTACCCAGCAGCCAAAGCCAAGTGTAAAACTCAGTGAAGCTGACAAGCCCCAGGACACTCTGGTGGATGTTTTGCCCCCTTGAGTGTTTGCTGTTTTGTGAAGAAAAAGTCTAGGCGAGTTCCAGCTGGAACTTTGCAACAGGCGAAAGCTCTTTTTGTTAATTCAAAACAGTTTGGAATCCATTTCAGTTCTTCCTAAGCCTCCAAGATACGGGGGAGGAAATTCACTGGATTTTACAATATATTTTTCAAGGCAAATTGCCATCAGTGTCCTAATGACAGAGAAGCTGCCGATATCACTACAACGGCCATGCAGATGGCAAGTCATCCAGCCTCCTCCTGTACCCTCCTGAGTCTGGCTTGGTGATGCAAACCACCTTGAGGGCAGCTCCTTTTTCCAGCAGTCCTCGCACTGTCTCTTCTCTGTGAAGCCACTTTGGATGGCTGTTCATGGCGTGATCATTGACTTTTCAGCTGTTGAGTGGGCAAGGAGAATAGGGTAGAAGCAGGGGAATTGATCTCACTGCTATGCATTTATACATCAAAGAGGAGCAGATATTCTATGTTAATTGGATCATACCTAGGTCTATCAGGTCAGTAACCTGGGGCTTCCCCATGCGTCATACCAGATAGATAGATTTTTTTAAATTTTGTTGGAATTAAAGTAGAATCACAGCCAAGTGCTAGCCCAGAATAAGTTACTCACAAATGTTTGCTGAGTGAATAATCATCCATAATAATAATAATACTACCTACCATTCATTGAAAACTTCAGTATGTGAGAGAGTCTGTGCTAGACACTTTATTACATCCATAATCTGTTTTTTTGGTTTTTTGGTAGGAAGACTACATGGCTGAATACATGGTCTTTTATTACCTCCATTTTATAGACGGAGAAAATGGAAACTTAAAGAGGTTAAGCAGTTTGTCGAAGGTCACAGAGCTACTAATTGATGAGGTCAAGGTTCAGCCAGGTCTCTCAGACTTTCAAACTGGTGCACTTAACCATTAGACCCTACTGCTTTTTGTGTATTGAGAT